TGTTTTTCCAAAACTTTTTACTCTTATGCGCAGAGAATATAGGGAAAGACAGAAATTGCAGAAAAAAAGAACAAAAAGTCCAGGAAAGTGCTTAGTCTCCTGTTCTTTTACTTTTGAAAATGGTTAAATTGCTATAGCATATTGCTTAATCTTATATTCTGTAATATATTGTTTGATGTGTTTTGGATTTTCTTTCCTCTTTTACAGCTATCATGTATGTAATGGGAGCTCTTGGTCCTGCAGCAGGATATTTATTAGGAGGTGTTCTTATTGGGTTTTATGTACATCCTACAAGTACTGTTCAGATTGACCAAAGTGACCCACGGTTCATTGGTAACTGGTAAGCTGCAACCATGTGGGGGTTTTATGTGCAAGTAACAATAATATTTAATATTTGATCAGTAATATTTAACATCTGTTCATGCATTCTTTGATCCTGTATGCTATGTTTTGAATAGCTGTAGCCAAAAACAGATGTATAGATTGTTCAGATGCCTGCTAACTTCACAACCATTTACTTTTCATTCTATTTCTGTATTTTAGCAATATTTAAATTTAAAAAGCTACCCTCTAAAAAAATTAAAAAGTAATAATAACATTGGAGCTGACATGTTTCTTTTCCACCTGGCATTTTTTTATGTACATGTTTGTACTTATGTGTGCAAGTTTCTGGCACAGCTTGTCATCAGATTGCTTTGTTTATATGATTTTTATATACCGTATACAGATTGTTGAAAATATATTCTTCATTTATTGCTTGATCTTCCAAGACTATAGGCACAATATTGACAACTCAATTTATAAAACGATTATAAAGATATATGGAAACCAGTCTATCAACATCCATTAGCCATGATAATTTAATGCATTTATCAGCTGTAGAAAAGCTGCACATTTAAATATCAGATGCTGGGTACAAACAACTGTCAGATAAATGCCGAAAATGTAGCCAGAAACTAATTTCTTCCCTCTTCTTCTTTATGCTACAGCAGTTAGAACAAACTTTGAATCATCCATTAAGCCTCTGACTGCAGCCTCAGTTTCTTTGAATTCCTTCTATCTTTTCTATTGTCCAAAAATGAATGGATTTGTTTTAAATGGATAGTTTTAAGAAGTGCATATGGTATATGTGGTCATCCTGTTTTTTGATACAATGAAGTGAGCAAAGTTTTGTCTGTAGTTTGACCCAGAAATAGTAATTGCCGTTTCTTGTAGATTTGTGGAGTTGTTGTTCCCCTCACTAAATATCAAAATCTACTTTGGGTTAAAAAGTGCATAGGTTCATGTACTGCTTTGAATTGGTCACATTTAAAAATGTTACTTTAGGAGAAAAGTGATTTAACAACAGCTGCAGCTACAACAAAGCAGTAGTAATAATTATACAAGAATTACAGGGAAGTGAGATGCCAATTTAATCATGACGATAATAGTTGAGAACTTAATTTGAAGAAGTATGGCCTCAGATTTTCCAAACATTCATGCCAAATACCTGCCAGATAGAAATTACAGGGTTCTTTTCTTCTATGATTAGGCATTCAGAGTAACTGAGTAACTATGAAGCCTATAGCTTACTTTTTGTAGCAAATTCTCATTAAGGAAGTTCTTTATATGGTATACTAAGATCATATGTAGTGAATTTGACAGCGATTAGTGATCTAGAAATATGGGAAATTTCCATTTCTATCTACTTGTGTATGTTCATGCCAGAATCTAGGGTATGAGAATTATACTAGTCTTTTCATTCAGAATAATTAGCTGGTGAGGTGCCTGTGATCAACTGCATAAATTAAAGGAAAAGCTTCATTAAATTAGAAGCATCTTGTGACCCAAAGAATAGATATGGCAGCTAAAGTTAATTATTAATTAGAATCATGGAGAAAGTACCATCAGTGGCTGTAGAAGACTGCAAGGGCCATGCCACTAGACTTTATCAATTTAGTCTTGGAATAGTTATAACTGATGTCCTCTAGATACATTAGATTACAATTGTTATAATATTGGCTGGCTATGATGGTTGATGTTAGTATATTATATAATGGCACCTTCTTGAGGAAATTACAGGCAACCTGTGTTATGGTAAATATGTAGTTTGCAATTGTATATTTGTATGGAAAGGATAATGCATAATCAAGGAATGGTGGGTATCAGAACTTTGAAAATGGTTCATAAGTAGCTCTATGGAAGTCCGTTGTAACTTTGAATGGTTGCAATGCAACTGGTCATTAAGCAAGAATTACCTATATATTTTTTATCTGTTCTGGATGCAGCTTTTGTGATTTCTTTTCAAGTCACTTACATGGTACTTGTTTTATGGGACAAACAGTAATACCAAGTGTAAATTTCTGCTTCCTGCTGTAGAGGGTTTTTGTGTGTGTGTAATTATGTATGCTTATAGGCAATGATATCTATTATTGTACTGCTTAATGTAATAAATATAACCCTATTGGTAAATGTTATTTATTACCTTCTGATTTTAGGTGGAGTGGATTCCTCCTTTGTGCTAGTGTGATGCTTCTTGTTATACTTCCAATGTTTGCTTTTCCCAAAAAGCTCCCACCTCGACACAAGAAAAAGAAAAAAAAGATGCACTCTGATGATGTTTCAGGTGATGATGATATTGTGAAAGAAAAAGTGAATAGCAAAAATGAGCTAGGCTCGGAAATTCCTACATCAATGGGCTTTGGAAGAAATGTTAAAGGTAAAGAATTTCCTGTTTGAAAAAATCAGATTAGGATGAAACTTAAATTCATAGAATTGTTATTTGTTGTTGAAAACTGATAGAAAAATATATTTATTTAGTTAGGAGCAGTACTAAAGTAGAGGACTTTGGTTCAATTGGTTCTACATTAGTTGCAGGGTAAATTGCTTCACTCAAAAAATCAATATTGAGCTCCCCCCTCAAGCCTATTCAGGCAGGCTGTAATCCATAAACAGCCTTTATCAAGCTTGATAAAACTATGTAAATCCTATCTACTAATTTCCTGCTGTTATCAGCATTATGAAAAATAGACTTTGGCTAAGGATGCTGGGCTAAAAGAAAAGGTTGAATACAGTCTCCTCAATCAACAATAGGAAACTTTTTCCAGGTCAAGAGCTATATTGCCTTTGTGGGAACTATTAAAATTTAATGGTGTTTTTTTTTGCTTTGAATTTTGACCCCTCTCTCCCAAACTATATTTATAGAAATATCTGTATTCATGATAGAGAGGCGTCATAAAACATATACTCCATTTTTCAGCTAATTTGTGGGGTAACAAAGATAAAAGACTAGTTTTATCCTCCTTGTGGCATGCAAGATAGATTGTGCTATTTTCTTTCTGCCCACTTTGTTTAAGTAGGGATAAAAAATGGGCTCTTTCCACTGTTCAACTGTTGACGTTCCATGGTGGCCAGATTTTCATCTCCATTATAAAATGGAGATCATGCACTTAAACCTCAGCTTCTATTGTTCTGTGATAAATATGTAAATTGTGCTTAATGGAGAAGAAGAGCAAAGAANGCATTTCCCTCTATAGTTCAACTTATCTTGCTCTTCTGTTCTAAAAGAAGAGTTTACCTGGAAGGTGGCAAATAGTCCAGTGACAATAGCCAGCTGGGGGCTATTTCTTTGGTTGTAGCCAATAGGGAAAAAATATTTCTGTCCTTATTTATTCATTCCAGTGACAGCTAATTGTAATTTTAGGCAAAAATTGCCTAAAAATAAGGTCTTGGTGAGTTTTGTCCACATTTTTTAAAATTCTTTTAGTTATTGCTTCAAAGTTGTGTAATCCTTTGGAAGCATGTTTCATTTATATTAATCTAACCCTTCAAGTATTAAAAATAGCCTTCCTGGCACCCGGTAGGAGATATTATTAATTTATAAGATCCGAATTTAGAACATCATAAGATTTAAGATAATATCCAAAAAGGATATTAATCAACTAATAGCATTAAGGTGGACTTTTAACTTTCAACTAGCAGTGGCCAATGCCTGATTATAATAATAAAAAAAGGTTATATCAGTATTGATCCATATGAGTTTATGTTGTGGACCATCTTCCTTGATGACATGGTTACCAAAAGCTAAATATATTGTAGCAAATACTGTTTCTCCTTACACAGTAAATGCTCTTTTCGCTCCTGATATTCTAAGTCTGAATTCCTCTTACAGAAACCTTTCACTCTCTTTTTTTCCCCTTCTATAATATGAACAAATATTTTTATTTCTTTTTGCCTTTTTGGGAACAGTCATATGGCGTGTGTCTACAACTCCTTAAAGCAGCTGTATCATTTGCCAAGTTAGGCATCTGCCCTCCACAACTGCAGCAGGATCCCAGATTATATAACATGTTAATAATAATGATGATGATGATGATGATAAAGTTGGAAGGGACCTTGGAGGTCATCTAGTCCAACCCCCTGCTCAGGCAGGAAACCCTATACCATTTCGGACAAATGGCTGTCCAGTTTCTTCTTAAAAACTTCCAGTGTTGGAGCATTCACAGCTTCTGGAGGCAGGTTGTTCCACTGGTTAATTGTTCTGTCAGGAAGTTTCTCCTTAGTTCTAGGTTGCTTCTCTCCTTGATTAGTTTCCACCCGTTGCTCCTTGTCCTGCCTTCAGGCGCTTTGGAAAATAGCTTGACTCCCTCTTCTTTGTGGCAGTCCCTGAGATATTGGAATACTGCTATCATGTCCCCCCTCGTCCTTCTCTTTGTTAAAGTAGACATACTCAATTCCAACAGTCTTTCCTTATATGTTTTAGCCTCCAGTCCCCAATCTTTGTTGCTCTTCTCTGTATTCTTTCTAGAGTCTCAACATCTTTTTTACATCGTGGTGACCAAAACTCGTTGATTTAAGCAACCTCCTTACCTACAAAGTAGCTTCTTGTTTTTGAATCTTAAATGTTCCACTGCACAGTTTTTATTCTCTCATGCTTAATTGTTGTTCTTTTCATTTAGTTGAGCTGTATTTAAGGAAGAGGGATGATTTACTATAAACTCTGGTCTTTATTAACATGTCTTAGGCTGGGACGTGTTTTTCCAAAACTTTTTACTCTTATGCGCAGAGAATATAGGGAAAGACAGAAATTGCAGAAAAAAAGAACAAAAAGTCCAGGAAAGTGCTTAGTCTCCTGTTCTTTTACTTTTGAAAATGGTTAAATTGCTATAGCATATTGCTTAATCTTATATTCTGTAATATATTGTTTGATGTGTTTTGGATTTTCTTTCCTC